AGCTCCCTCGGACCAAGGCTGGATTTGCTCAAGGTGACCAAGAGAGCCGCAGGTATTTGAGGCAGACAGAAATGAGAATTCATATAGAATCTTTCCCCTGTCAAATGAACAAAGCCTCAGAAGGAAAAGTGCACAGTACAGGTATAACAACATTAAGTCAGCTTTGATTTTTGCTGTTGCTGTTTATTTCTGCTTGAAGTGTTGACATTTTAAAGTTGTCCACTTTAAATGTCAACAGCACAGTGTGTCTAAGATTAGCAAGTTTACATAATTTAAGCAGAACATCTTGGAAGCTGAGAAATGGATCTTTATAATCACACAAATCTATAAATCAACACAGCACCACACACATACAAAGAAGTGATGTTGCTGTCACATAAATGTACATTAATTACCATAATTACCATAAGAAGCAGGTGGAGATCATGTTTAAACATATATAAATATATATATAGTGTATAAGCTAAGCTTAGAGGACAATGCAATTAGCTTATAATCAGTACAGAAAGTACTGGTTTGATGAAAACAAAATATTTGAAGGTACATTATATAATATTATTTATGACAGATTAATGTCTACATCATTTTAACTCAATAATTAGTGTCTGTGTGTGTGTGTGTGTGTGTTGGTCATTGACAGATGTATTTTCTTGCTGTTAGGGCAGAGCTCTCAAGCGTCATGTGTCAAACATCAAATTCCAGTTAGACGATTTCCTATTTTAATAATTCCTTTCAAAGGACTGCATTACTTTATGTTGCATGAATAGAAAAGGAGAAAAAGTTTTCATTCTGTTTGCAAACAGTGTCAGGGCTGAAAGATCTGCCTCAGCTCATAATGACATCACCTGAGTTGGCTCTCAGTCATGACAAAAACTGAATAGCATTTTGGCACAACTTAAATGTGAGCCCTCAGACGTTAAATGTCTGCAGAGATGAATGAGCGCCGACTGAATATGCAGATTCCAGAGGAATTGAGTGGAGGAAATTTGCTTTACATCCAAATGACTGTGGCCATCCATCATGCCTTATGTTGCACGAGCCCTGTTTGTTTGTGCATACATTTAGGAGTGCTACTTCCTGCTATGCCGTTCCATAATAGCATTAGTAATGGGAAGACAACAACTTACTTGAATATTTAAGCTGTGATTTATCACCATCCCCTGATATAACAGAAAGCACACGCTCATTCATTTCACTGAACTTTTCTGTAGAAAAGAAGGCTTTTCTGTCGACGTTTACATTTTGTGTTAACTTTTATATGTGTGTTTTAGCTGGGCGTCTTGTCCCTATTAGAGAGTAATTAGAGGAATATATTGTGTAGCTCATTGAACTTTTTCACTATTTTTACAGGTAGTAGAAATTAGTGTAGTAGAAATTACTCAAAATGGGGTTCAGTGTTAGAATTATAAATACTTTTTTTTTCTGATTTCAAGATCAGAAAGGTGTAATGGATAATGGATTTTTTAAATAATTTTTTCGCCCAATTTTAAAATGCTATACATGGTAGCTCATTCTGACTAATAATAACAATTATAATAATAATAAGTCTTGAGTTCCTTATTTATCCCACAATGAAAGGACATTTATACATATATTGTATGTGGTTCCTCTGGGAATTGCATCCAGAACTCTCTGCTTGCAAGCCAGGCATGCTAATCACTACACTGTGAAACTCCAAAGTTACTGTCAGAAGTACGATAATGTATGTCATGTTAAACCACATCAACCTAGGACATGTGTTATTATCGAACTACACACACACACACACACACACACACACACACACACAAATGTACATTTTAATGGCATTTTCTACCTTGTCCACATCCACAAAGGTCTGACCATCACTGGCTCTTCTCCAGGAAATGTCAGGCAGCGGCTCCCCTTCAGCCACACAGGAGATCATAGTGGCACTGCCCTCCACGGCTGTCACGTTTTTCAGCTGTGTGATATGAGGCTGGACTGGAAGAGGACAAAAAAGAGAGGAGAAATAGAAAAATGAAAAATGAAGATGGACTGAAGACAAGTTGGTGGCAGCACAAGGATCAGAAGTTATCAATGAGGATGTAGGTGAGTGAGAAACTGCCAAGGGGGAGGCTGTCAGGGCGAGAAAGGAGAGAAGCTATAGCACAGGCTCTAACAGGAAGCTGATTTGTGACTTTGGCGTTGACCGTCAAGGTCATTTGTACACTGTGAAAAAACTCTGCGGGTCTGGCATTGTGGAAACATTAGTCCTCTGCAGATTTAAGGTGTATTTCCTCTCTGACATGTCCACATTTTATATCCTAACAAAACATAACAGCCAAGAAAAGCTGCATCAGTGCGTCTTCAACCTTTGGTTAAAAGGCATCAGCTCACCTTCAACTTAAGGTGAAACAACTGAATAGCTGAATGTAACTGCTCATCTTTTAACTTCCTTATTTAGGGTGTTTTATATTCAAATACACTGAGTTCTGTTAGTTAACTTTGGTAGAATATGGAATTGATTATTGATTTACGTACACTACCGCTGCAGTGTCAGCTGTTATAATGTTAACTTAAGACCAGAGTACATTAATCATACAGACACCTACCTATGTTTCTTTATACAAATAAACATTCTACAAACAGTAAACATGTGGTACTTCCAGCATCTTTACAAGATTTTGTTGACGCAATCGCAAAATTTTAATTAATTTTCTTGAGATTTCCTCATCCTCTGTTTTTCCTCTGTTAAGTACTTCAGTAGTTGAGCCAACAGATTTACTTACCAAACACCTTGAGGAAGAGTTCACGCTCCTGAGATCCAGCTTTGTTAGTGGCCCTGCACAAGTAAATGCCTCCATCACCTTGCCGGATGTTGTGAATGGTCAGAGTGTGGTGTCCACCTTCCAGCCTGTTGAAAATATACTGCTCTGAAGGCTCCAACTGCTGTTCTTTCCTGTGCAGTGGCAGACAAACACACACATTTGAGAAAGAACATCCTGTTATCCTGAATACACAGGCTTACACTTCCCCCAAATCTCAAGTCAAATCGGTTTCTGTGTAACATAAAGAGATGAGTTAGTTTGAAGTGTAAAAGGATGGGACTGATGTTTATAGAACGCTTTTATGAGATGGTTTAAAGAACCATTTAGCACAGCGTCACAGTGGAACAATTACCGTAGGCATCGCTGTACTGTTGGTCTCATCTGAGTTTATTACTGTGTACTTTCAATTAGACTGCAGTGTTTAGGAAATGTGTGGGTTAAAGCACAAAGTTGACCTGAGGTACTTTTTTATTTGCCCATGTAGTGATATTACCCAATAAAAAAGAAAAAACTGCAAACTGAGAGTACTCTTTATTTAAGCTTTTTAGCATAAGCACACACATGGAAAAAGATTCTGAATATTTTTTGGGGAGTGTTCAGTTTTGTTTTGGTCTTTACGTGACTATCTGAATTCTAAAAAAAAAAAAGAGCATTTATTATGCTGCACTGACATTATTCAGTGAGGTCCAGGGCCCAGACCTGCTGACACTGTGGCAGTGCTGGAATAGGCAAACAAAAAACCTACCAAAGCCAAGTAACTCGGAGTTAGAGGAACGGGAGAGGAAATGAAGAAACCTCTGTACTTCCTCTAAGAGGAATGGGCCACAGCACTGTCTGAGTGTCATTATACTGACTGTGTGTGACAGGTTGTCTATTACACAGGCTGAGACAACACCAGACACTGACAGGAAATAGAGCTCACCATGAAAAGTCGCTTCCATGGATAAATACAGGGAATAGTGATTGTTGTTTACACTGAAAATGACGACTTTTACTGATGTGTTTAAGAGACGAGGTACTGAACCGTGACACTGGATATATTGGAATATAATACGATACTATATACATATAATAATATGCCAACGGTAACTATAATATCACAATGAAGCAATTCTGTGAAAATCAATATTGCAAAACATCTGTCCCCCGATGACCTTCAGAATTTATTGAATGTATTGACTCCAATTTATATGAATTATGAAATATTGTATTAGTAAAAGAGTAAAACAAAGTGCAAACTGCAAAGTGGCTCTTCTCAAACAAATAATCTGGTTTAACTGTAAACAGCAAGATCAAGATGACATACACTGCTTTAAGGGAAGACCTAATATTTCCGCCACACGAAGCCTTAACAACAATGTAGGAAATAAAGCTGAGGCAAAGATCGTACCGTGTCTGTCTTTTTTTTTTTTTTAAAGCATGCTGTGGCTTTTATTGGTGGTTTACAAGCACAAAGAGATGAAAGATTATAGGTTGGGAATGACAAGTAGTCATTTCTATATGGAGTTGAATCTTAAGCGCACAAAGACTTGAAGCAAAACTTCATTTTATGGCCATGTGCATTGTTGGCCCATTTGACAGGTTTCCACTCATTCATCTTCTCTTTTTGTTGCATTCATCAGTTGAGTTATGGTGATATTATCCTTTTTATTTAGTGCTTATGATGTAGGATTTTACAGCAGGGTCAGAAATGTGCAGTACATCATGTCACGTGACAGCAAAACTTATTGTATAAGTAGTACTTATTATAGCTGTGCCCATGTGTTTTATAACAAATCCAATGAGTCGACGTCAGCACTTCTGACTGACTGTTTTGAGGGTATATTATGGAGAAGGCAGTTGCAGATAAGTGTGTTCCACCATCCAATTTCATTTAGTCTTAAACATTTAAACAGCTCCACTGAGAAGGATTATAATTGTACAATTAAAGGCTCTGTATTTATTTCATTGCTACCTCATCTGAGGCTCTTTTTTATTTTAATCAAAGTTGCTCAACTTTCCTCATCAAGGCCCTCTCATCCTAGTCATATAATTAAAGCATGATGTGATTTACTTGAATCAAAAAGTAATTTGCTGAGAATGAACATGTTCCTTTTTTTACTTATCACTTTGTTGCACGGCTCAGTTTCCTGTCACGATAACAAGACGACACTCAAGGAAACATGTTCACAAAGTCTCACAATTATTGTGAGACCCTGTAATGACCTTCGGGAATTTCTGTTTAATTATGACTGTAAATTAGTGCAGGTGGCACACCCTGGAGCTAAGGTACGCAGCACCCATGGTTTGTGCTGAAAATAATCAAAGATGAATGATTTTCTTTAAGCTATGCAGCATCTATAAACAGTGACCGTACTCCACTGATGCATGTGTCACGGTTCTTTTCCTCGGGTGGTTTTTGATATTGGCAGGGAGTGGACACTGAGACCTTTGATGCCTTTGTGGGGCACACAGTTGCTTTGCAGAATTTATTGCAGTAGTACTCCCTCAAAACATTTTAAAGAAACGATGATAAATATATATATATGCATATATGTATATATATACATATACACATATATACATACATATATGTACATATATACACATATATATAAAAGTACATATATGCAAATCTATACATATATACACATATACACATATATACACATATACGTACATATGTGGATATATATGTACACACACACACAAACAAGTACAGGTACCTGTGCCATGTCACGACGGGGTCAGGCGATCCAGAGGTAATACAAGTGAAGGTGACAGATTCCTGGTAGTCAGCTGTGGCGTTGAAGGACTGCTGGTACACTGTCAACACTGGTGGGACTGCAAACCAAAAGTACAGAGGAGATTAAACACAGTCAGGTAAGAGCACTGTTATGTCACCCTGAAAGTATTACCAGTCAGTCTTGATCAACAGAAGGTCACTTTAATATATACATGAAGTTAGACAAGGGGTTTAACTGAGGCCAACCATCATCTCTGAAACCAGCTACTGTCTTTGACAGAAGAGTCCAGTCTCATCTCTGAAACCAGCTACTGTCTTTGAAGAGTCCAGTCCCTCTAAGTTTGAGCTGCTGCCATTCTGTATGTCTCCCTGATCGGTGTAAATATAGTATTCCTACTCCTCTTCATATATAAACATTTCATATACTGTACACATGACACAAATTCATCACATGACTTAATTGTCCTTAAAAACACAGCGTTGATCATTTCCTTAACAGACATCTGTCAGCAGTACTGTAATGTGTTGCCAGAGTGGGCAGTGATGTGTGACACTTTTTGGCTGAGAAAGGCATATTGCGGCACAACCCATGAAGGAAATGCCTCTGGCAAGGCGTCTTTATTATCCTCCAGGGGGCATTCAATTCACAACCAGCCCCGGAAAACAAACAAACAATACAGTACATTGAAACTTTATCCATGTAAATCTGCCTGGGCACTGGACTGGGTCTTGGTATGGATGATATTTGTTTCCTTAGTGGAATTTTTTTTTTTTTTTTGCCAGACAGCAGCCTGGAACTGGTAAGAACAAGAGAAAAGGTTGAACTGGAAAAAGCAAATGAAAACTTATTGACTCAAAGCTGTGATTTACAGCTGGATCACCATTGTGATTAAGGTCTGATGCCAGCCGTAGTAATAATATAAAAATATCAGCATAAAGCTGGATAGTCTACCATGTTATTATATTGTAGAAATGTGTGCACACTACACATATATGGTAAGGTGCATATATAAATACTGCATTCCGGTAAAGCAAATGTCATGATGATTTTATCACCAGTACATGCTGAAAGCTGTCACCGTCGTCCAATCAGCTGGGGGTTGACATCCTGTCATGTAGTAAAAAGGAAGTAAAGGGAGCGCTGTCTTTTTCTTCTCTTTTCTCCGCAGCACTGACACTGACTGACATCTTTATGCCACCATATTTATCAGATGTCTCAGGCCCGCTCTCAGCTGACTGTAACTGCACTCACCGTAGCCGCCCTGGCGTGGATGTACATACGGTAGCGTTTGATTCAGCCGTCGCCTTTGTGTTCTCGGCCGATGGCTGATGTCACCACGATGACTACAGTATCTGTGGTCAAATCAGCTGCTGAGCAGTTAGGAGTTCAGCACAGAGGGTATGGTGGGGTTTTTTTATTGTCTCTGTCACTGACCACAGAGCCAATTCCATTTCCACCAAACAACTGGCTTTTTTAGGTTTGTAGACACAACAGCCCAACAGTCAGCTCCACAACACAGCAAAGTAAAGGACACTGGTTACAACCTCCAAACCACTGCACATGGTTCAGAATGCAGTGGCACGGCTGGTCTTCAATCAGCCTAACAGGACACAGCCCCTCTGGTCACTGAGCTACACTGGCTACACAGCTGGGTGGGGTAAGAGATATATAGATATATAGATATATCTCACATCAAGATATATCTATATATATCTATATATCTCGATATCTCTCAGCTCTGTTTTTTTTTATATATATATATAGATATATATATATATATATATAAGAAGTCTGCTCTTTTAAAATCCTGCACATTTAAATTCTTAATGCATACAGGCGTATGTGTCCCAGCTCTGCACAGTTGAAAATCAGTTGGTTGGCATTTCAACTACACACTCTCAGAGAATTCAGACACTTCTCATTGTTTGGAAGAGCCTGTATTTTATGAACACCAACAAATCTTAATTAAATGGCACACTTTAAGTATATTTGTTCCATGATGAAAAGGTATCTCAGGAGGAAAATATATATTTTTTGTCTTAATAATACTGTACACTGGAATATTATATAACTGATTTAAAGTGAATTAATAAACTAAAAAGCTGTTGTCTTTTGGACATCATTATTGCACAACAATGAAAGTTACCAGTTTGCAATAATGCGTCGCCAAATTCTTCCTACTATAAATTCCACAGTATTGAAAAAAAAAACAAACCAAAACAAAACAAAACCCCAAACGTTTGACATCCACCCCCAAAATACATATTTCCATTTCTGTAGTACATTCAGCAAACATCAGTAAACAGAGCAGAGTAATGAGACACACATCAAGGCAGAGCAGGCTTTTCAGGGATTAAAATGCCCTGAAACAACAGCAGTCAAAGACCGAGCCTCTTTCAGTTACAACAGCTGTGATTGAGAGCAGAAAGCATCAGCCTGACACGAAAACTATTGATTTCTATGCCAATAGATCTCTATTCTCTGCTGTTCCTCATCCCACTGCTGCGGACTCCTACGTAAGTGAACCTGTCTAAATCAACAGGCGCACTGCCAAGCTGAAAGACTTCAAACGAAGAAACAGAAAAAGGCTTTTGGCAAGAAGGAAATCATATTCTAGGAACTTTTAGGAATACCTCAGGTATCTGAGTCACTTTTAATAGAAAAAAAACTATTTTTTGCTGTATTTCTCCCAGAGGTGTTTTATGAAACCACCTTATATGATTCTTGGGGGAGAACTGCTAACTGCTTCACACAAAAAGTATGTGGATTATGGTTAATTACTGGTTAAATTAAAAGAGGAGGAACCAACCAGCTTCGATCTGCACCAGACTTTGGACACAATTCTAATAATAACTATAAATGTATTTATTACATAATATATATTTATTATTAATATATATTATAAAATGTGTTATATAAACATGGTCCTTAAATTTTAAATAAATTTGGACCTTAATTGTTCAATGGTTGAAGACAGTAAAACTCTAAGCTGCCTTGCCCAGTTTTAAATTTTTATTTTATAAATGCCACTATACCATGTTCCTTAAAGTTCCTTAAGATTAAATTAAAATTGAATTGCAGTTATTTCTGATTAGATTTAGCGCATTGAGATATGAAAGTCAAACCATGAAATGGTGATCTAACAATTTAATTATAGAATAATATGTATTATTTAAAAAGAAAATATTTTAATGGATAAATTACTTGGATTTTTTTCCCCATTGGTTGAAAATGTTGTTCTAATGACTTCATCAATGATGTGCACATGATTGCACACTGTTTTTGTGACAAGTCGTTAGCTTCATCTTCGTCGACTCAATGGACTGTAGGAGAGCCAGGGCAATATGTTTGCCAACAACTGCTCTTCTAACAAATATCCAATGAATATTTACATCTTTATTGGAGGAGGAAAACACACAGCTCCAGCTGTTTGAGCCATGCTCTCAGATGTAATGTTGTCGGTCATGAATAAAGCAATTCCCGCAGGGAAGATACTAAAGTAGGCAGAACCAACTCTTCCTCTGACGTGTGTGTGTCTGAACAGCAGCACGACACACTACTGCTGGAAACCTGGACAAACAGCCTGGTGCTCCTGACTACAAGACAAAAAAACAAACAAAAATGCTGCTGATCTCAAAGGTCTGGGGTTTGGGGCAAAAATAAATGTTAGGTACGGACTTTCGAAAATTGAAAGCCAATTATTCTTGCTGTTATAATTAAAAAATACTAAGAAATCAAGGCTACAAAATGCAAACATTGTGTGTTGAGTAGGGCTGTGAAAGGGTTAATCATGAATGATCATGATTAATCATAATGAACCATGAATCATTAAGCTAAAAAGGACACATAACATCATGTAGATGCTTGTGCTTCGTTCTAGCTTTTATTCGTGACTAATCCTAATGATGGTACGATTGATGTTGAAAAATATCAATTCGGAAACTTTTGTTAAAACCCCAGTGAAATACTCTAATTTAGAAGTCCTGTCTGCCTGCTGAAACTTTGGGTTATCTTCAGACAAAAAGAGCAAGATTAAATTTTGTCTTTAGTCAGACTTAAAAAAAAAAAAAGATCCCAAGTGGATGTGCCGTGAATGAAACCAATTATTTCCCCCTAGGTGGAACTCATACCTAATCATACCAGTTACCAAACAACAAATACAAATCCCAACACAAAAACAAAACACTTCTTTCCTAGATGTAGAACTAAAGATTGAGGTGAACAATGTAACTTTGACTGTATAAGATCAGACTCAGAAAACGATAAATGTAACGACACCATCGAGCTGCCTATCCCTGCAGTTCGAGGTCATCTTCTCTCCTCTGCAATGTGAGAGTGCTCAAACTCCAGACACTTGTCAAAGTGCTCTGTGCAGCGTGCAGTCTCAGTGGCCCCACTGTCCTGTCACTGCAATAACACGCTGTGCCTCATTGAGCAGGCTTATTGGATCCTTCTCCGATGTGAGGTAAGTGGGCAAAGGGCTGCTCTGCTTTTAGATTAAGAGGCAGAGAATTACATGTGCGATGATAGCATTACAGTTGCTGGAGTGCTACGAGACAATCATGACCTGAGCCAAATCAGATTTCAGTCACCGGAGCAATCTGTGAGAGACAATGCTCCAGAGGAGAACAAATGGTAAAACCGTAATGGCACTATTAATTTTTTCAAAGATTACGGCCTTTATCTGTTTGAAGGAAGGCAACTTCAAGTTTGTTCATTGTATGTGACTAAGGAAAAAGTATTTGGAAAAGAATATGGGAGAAAATACCAAGAACAAAATCTTTTTAAAAGCCAGTAAAAAGTCTCAAAATATTACTGGACATCTTTGAACTAATGCAATCAAAATGTATTTGTGCCTGTAAATGTTTATATACCAATACCAGTCTGTGTAAGTTCTCAGCCGTCCAGGTCATCTCAACCATCAGTTCCATCAGGGTCAACTGGACTGCTTTAGTTTCTTGAAGACGTTTCACCTCTCATCAAAGAGACTTCTTCAGTTCTAACTGACTGCTTAGTAGGTTCTGGTATTAAAGAGAAGACGGTGAGGTGAAGGAACACACACAAGAAGGGCCCTAAAGACTTGTGGCTACTCCAATTGGTTCTTCACCAAATCCACCAACACCGAAGAAAAGAGCAGGGAAGACAATGGTAAAAAAACAGAATAACATCATCATTTCTTATGTCTACTTCAAACTACAACACCCTCAACCAGAAGCCTGTTCATCTTAGGGATAAGACAGCCACGGCCACAACTCAGGTCAGTGCTCAGCTGTTCATCTGCACCTCAAAGGCTAAGGACACACCTGTGAGGATGGAAATGTTCATCTCCTTGACAGATGAGAAGACAGCTGGTCTGAAAAGGAGTGAAGTATGTGAACCTGGACAAACCATCCGTCAACAGAGGAGGTGGAATTAGACGCCGTCTTTCATCCACCTGCCGTGTTGTCCTGAGTTCTCTTCCCAGAAGACTCAAGTCTTTTCAGATAACCCCCCCCCAGTGCTACCAATGTGCCGTCCGTCTCTAACAACCCCCCCATTCACACCTAGACCCTTGTGAAAACAACATTTCCTTTCTTTGGAATTAGGTTTAGTCACTGCCTTTGTTTATTACATGGACCCTCTCTTTCAGATGTTCATATACCAGAAACTTCTCAGCAGTCAGTCAGAACTGAAGAAGCCTCTTGGATGAGAGGTGAAATGTCTTCAAAAAACTGAACCAGTCCAGTTCTTTTTTTGTTTTTTTTGCAAAAATCTGACATTTTATTACCACAATGTCCACTCTATACAAACAAGAAAAACTGCAGTTCTCCATGTCCTTGCATGTACACCCAATAAACATGTTTTTTAAATTGTTTTTTGTGGTACTCCATAAGGTAATGTAAGGTTAAATTAAAGTCACAACAACTTAACTTCTTAACTTACTCTGAATGTCCAAAATACTTCTATATTCAATCCAACTTTTCACCTACATTTCCTCAACAGCAACTTGAGTTGTAACTTACCGTTGACCAACACAGCAATGTCCACAAAGTCGATTTCCCCACGGGCCTCCACGCTGGCCTCACAGCGGTACACACCCTCATCTGCCTTGGTCACATACTGGATCTGTAGGTTGTTGTTCTCCAGCAGCTGGTATTTGCCTTCAGAGCAGACGGGGAAAGGAATGACACGTGTAAACAGACGGAGATGGGAGAGAGGTCGAAACTCGCAAGAACTACTGGAACGAAGGAAAAATGAGGAGAGAAAAAACTGCCATCGGAGTTTCCTCCAGGCGTTAGACTGTGAGTCCTCACATCAGCACATTTAGGTGTGAAACTTCACAAAGATAAACACCCATGACATCACTGGTTCCCATCGTCTCCTGCTCCAGTTGTGCCCACTGTGAGATTGACCAGATTATCTCTGTCTTATTTCTCCTAAGCCATGGGTATGCACAGTTCAACTGCACAGATTAGACAGATCTGGTTAAAGTCAAAAGATCGTCTTTATTTATAGTTATATATATGATCAAAACAAGGTGTAAAAAAACAAACATAAAAAACTAAACATAAAAAAACCGTCCACATACACAGACCCTGACAGATTTAATGGCTCACTTTGTCTTTCATATCTTTCAGGGCTCTCAGGTCTGTCTGGATGGAACTGTGGCATTAAGGCTCGTAATTTAGGGAGAGAAGATGATATAATGAATCCTTGTCTACTTCTGTTATTTATATTACCAGGAGGGGATATTATCGCTCACACTGCCTTTTATCTGTCTTTTCTTTCAAAATGTTCTTCAAAAAAGACCACCCTCAGGGTAAAAAGAATACTGCAAAAAAAAAACCATGTGATTAATTAAGATTAAAGAGGAGCTTTTTAAAATGGCAGACATCAACGTGGGGATGAAAGTAAACTGTATCAGTAAACAGGAGGAGTCCCAGGGGCTTGAAGCCTTGAGACCTTGTGAAGCTGTTTTTGAATGTGACCATTTAACTGCTTAATAATTCATTCTTTAAGATGCTGTTGAGGTATAGCTTCCTCTGAGCGGCTGGGACTTCTATTCACTTCTAATCACTTTTTTATTGTTCAGCAAAACTTCCAGCAAAATTCTTGGCACAAAATATTCATTTCTAGTAAATGTTTGAGAGATAGGGACTGGGTCCTGGAGTTGGTGTATCGAATGAATTACTCTCAGAAAATATTGATACTAACTAATAAATGGAAAAAGTGCACGTGTCACTCCCACATATGATGCCCGGTAGTAAAATATACATCACATAGTTGTTAGAACACGTCTCTCCAGCATCTGGAACAGCTTCAAAGTTTCATCATAATATTTTCAGGGAGCACTGGACTGTTTTTAACTGTCAAAATTCAACAATTTTGAAATGGGAGTAAACAATCAATTTTTAACCAAACTCAAAGAACATTAGAAACAGATTTAGTTAATAGATTATGTGGAAAAATTCTCTGATGGGAACAATGTTTACCATGTCTTAGCTTTGTAAAGGTAGAAAAACATGATTCTCCAAATGTCTTGTTTCCCCGTTCTGAATAATTGATAAAACATCATTTGATAATCTGCAATAGCCAGCCTTACTGTGTTGCTCCTCTGTGATTTCCCTCTCCTGGTAGTACCACACCACCACAGGCACCGGTGAGCTGATGACATCACACACCACCTCGGCCATCTCGCCTTGTCGGAACTCCTGTGGTGACTGGATGTCCCTGAACATCAGCTTCTCTGTGAGATTAGAAAACAGACAATAATGTTCATTATGCAGTTCAGTTTAACCACTGAGGCTCTGTGCAGCATTACAAGCTAAATCCTCCTTTGATCCCACTGCATTTGAAACTGCAATTAACTCAAGTATACAGTAGGTTAAAGGTGATCCTGAAATCTGTAAATGTTCTTTACAGACACAGATACAAAGCTGAATGTGGTCGAACATGGTTTTCAAAAACACATAAACCATCAGTATTATCAGTGAAGCCAACTATTGATTAGGAGAAGCTTTTGAATAGGTGTCAATGGGAGCTGGAGAATGTTAGAGCAATGGCAGCCACAAAAAAGAAATTCAGAAAATGGTCGTCCTTTACGTACATTTCAAAGTCGAAAGTAAAAGCGGCTACAAATGTTAGGTTTTTATGGGACATAATTGCTGAGATCAAACCTTTTTATTGTTAGATTGTAAAATGACCACAGGGTCACGGATGACCATCTTCAATCATGTTCAATGTACTGTCAACTGCAATCTTCTCCTCCCAAACATAAGGACTGGGACATGGTAGTTAAACAAAACAGTTCAACAAAAACAAGTGATTTGTTCTATTTTCTTGCTGCAGCATGACACTAAACCCTGTTCTGGTTTGGATGGCTCTCTTTGATGATGTGAAACTGCAAGGCCTGCTGCCATCTTAGTGAGAAACGGTGGAGGTAAAGCCTCACTTTTAGCATCTGCTCTTTGATTTATGCAACACTGCTCTCTGAAATGAGCATCCTTTCCCATTCACTGTGTCCTCCTCCACTGAATGTGTCTGGCATCTCTGTGCAAGTTGGCATGTTTCATCCATGGGTTTCCTTTTAGTTTTTTTTAGTTTTTTATTTTTTTACTGCTCCCTTTTATCCGCACAATAATAATTTTAAATTGTTTTGGCAGTTTGAATCAATTTGAATTTTCACCTATTTTTTTGTAAGAGAATTAAGTTATTCAGATCAGATCAATAACAGATGTGATATTAAGAATAAACTAAATCTAGAGCTGACTCTGCAGTGTTTATTATAAGTGTGTATTTGAGATTCCCCAATCTTGCCCAAATACACACATTTGTGTGTGTGTGTGTGTGTGTGTCTATATGCTTAGGGGTCAACACATTAGCGTTCCCACAGGTCATTAGTTTGATGTTCAACATGTTTTATTTCACAGACCTGTGCACTGCTGTATGCTGGCACAATGACCGACCAGAGCTTCAGGCAGAACACATTTGCATGTCTGGGCCCAAGTGAGCGATGCTGGGGTTGCCATAGAAACAACAGTTCCGTTATACTGGCTATGCAGTGAGTAAGGTGTGGGTAGTGTTCGAAGGAGGTTTAACTATTGCTGTAAAAGGTAATCGTTGTGACTGTGTGTGATATTCATGCATTGAAAGGAAACGATTCTGACAACCTCAACACTTCACTTTTTCTCCTGTAATAGTTTTATACAAGAAAACGCACCAACAATTTTATCAGGTAAATGCGTGCCTGGGTGTTTTGGACACTTTGAGTGAAACTTACGGTAGATCTCCAGCACCACTGAAGCCTCCTTGCTCTCACCCTTGGTGTCGGTGGCCACGCAGCGGTAGATGCCTGCATCCTCGATTATGGCGTTGTAAATGATTAGCCTTGATCGCGATGATTCTGTGTGAAGTGCAATCCTTCTGGAGGTGACGATGCGCTCTCCTTGGGGATTGTACCACTCAAGCCTCAGTGTTTCTCCAATAGCTAGAGAGCAGACAGTGTGAAAGTGAAGAAGAGAAAGCAACGATAATGGTTAAAGAATCCAGGTGGTTGTATCCATCCATCCACTATCAACAGATTATTCCTCAGCATGGTTGCGGGGGTTCCTGTGCTAATACCATACAATGCAGAAAAACATTAACTTTTAGAATGTATTCTTATTTGTATTAAATAAATATTATTACTACTATTATTAATACTATTAAATAATTATTATTTATTTAGCATAAGAAAATTATTAACCAACATGTTTTCAGCACTGTCAAAAACCTGCTGCAGCTAACCTGGGGAGAAGAGCAGCTTGACAGCAGGTGAAAACTGCCAGGTCTACACAGATAAACACATCATCACGCTCAGGCTGTCACACGAGGTACGTTCAAGTAATACCGGAAATTTGAGAATCCGACGATCATAGCGGTTTGTGTGGTGTACGGTTCAGGAAATTGCTACAAAAATAAATTAAAATTAATGATTAGATTATTTTTTGGGCTCCTTCTCTGGTTTGGATGAACCTCTTTGATGATGAAACTGCAAGACGATTACAGAAGAAAGAGAAAAAAGAAGACGAGGGAAAGGGGGAAATGAAAAAGTAACCAGTAAACCAATCGTGCAAAGAATTTTCACTCTCTTCATAATGTTGACCTTTTCTACTGATTCTCTTGTGTTTCCATGTTCACACCGTGTGACCCTGAAATACAGCTGTGTAAGTCTGTGTTGTAGATTTAGTCATTCTACTGTGGCTGCCACATTTTGATGCAAGGTGTTCTGGACCACAGTAAGTGTGATATTTGTTTAAAGCACATGTAAACTCTTGCTCTGACAGTTGTTGAATGCTGGTAACTTTTTTAAACATTTCTCGGTAATTGCAGTGACTCGTGGTAGATGAAAAGACAGTGTTTCTCATCATCCGCGGCAGTAGAGAAGTATAAAACAACAGCTGAAATAATGAGGCTATCTCAGTCACCAGCACATTGCAAATTAATGGTTTTCAATGTGTCCCTTGGTGCCAGGACCAGCTGTATGAATGCACCCACGGAGCCTGACAGAAAAGCCACGGTGATAATTGTTTTAGGTCGTTAGGGAATGAGTGAGCATGAGAGAGGCGAGGGGAAAAAAACTAAGAGTCTTCGTCTTCAAAGGATATTTAAGAAACAAAATCACATTAGTAGAGTTATGGCTAGAGGCTTCAATTACTGGTCAAAATAATAACATGTTAATTATATTTTATTGATTTTTAAAAATCTAGTTAATTAGGGGTTTATTATGGGTTACTTAATCGCAAATAACCACATCAAATCAAACCAAATGAAATTATATATATACATGTATTTGACAAATTACTTTCAATTTAAACAGTTGGATAGACATATAAACAGTTTATATAATACATAAACCAGTTTAATATGTTTCTGTAAACTATGTATGAATGGATTTTTTTTTTAGTAAAACAGTACTTTTCAAATACATTCCAGAAAACATAAGGACTAAAATGACCATAGTCATGAATCATGAACCTATATGCGCAGGATTTTCAAATTCAGGTGGAAAAATAAAGTTCGGTTGAGCACTCGTAACTAGGTATTTCCTCGTATTAGGATCAAAATCTTGCAGACTCGTAACGTATCTAGGGCGTCCACTGTATATGTCACTTGTTCTGAGGTTGTGATCCTAACAGAGCTGCTACAATATCCAGGAGCTCTCATCTCACTTTTTCTTTTCATAACACATTCTTGAACCAGTTTGGGTTTTTTATTTTGTTCTTGTTGTTGTTGTTTAAGTCTTACCAACAAAACCCAGTTGGTCGATAAAATACTACTTGTTTTGTAAAGCAATACAACGACAAGAACACTTTAAGAAGACATTTTTCTTGGAGAGCCATTCTTCAAGACATAAACTGGTTTCCAAATAAATTTAGCATCACTTTCCTGTCTCACCACCGTGAGATTCGACTGCTCAGCAGCCCAGCTCTGGAACACCAACCAGCCTTTGTCAGTTTTACTCCTTCCCTCCTTTTACATAACAACTAGAGACATGGGCTCAGATGGATGGATACTATTATAGCCACCTTCAAACTGTTCCTGTTTACAGTGTTTTCATTTCTTTGTCCATTGGTTTATTTATCTTTGATGTAATATATATTACAATTTTTTTTTATTATTTCTATTATTATTAGTATTGCTTAACACAAGGTTTACTCTAACCATAGGTCCATAGGTGAGCATAGGTATAAAGGTTAGTGTGGGTTGGTTGTACCTCTCACACAGACTCTAAATGTCTGTGTCCCTGTGATGAACTGGTGGACGGTCCCTAGACCAGGGGTCAACGACCTTTTTGAAACTGAGAGCTATTTCAAGGTCACTCAGTAATACAGAGAGCTACTTGTTTGATACAGACTTCACAAACAATGTAATAATAATCAGTTCTGGGACATGCAGTAGTAGACACTAGTGTAGTGTATCCTTTTGGTTGATAAAAAGTATTTAGCAGTAGATGATGAATGGATCAATTATATGGTATAGTTTTAATTTTTTTGAGAATAACATATGTACAGAGCTAAATGTTGTTTTGTAGTTTTTATTCCTTTAAGTCAATCACACATTTGGGACATCTCAAATGTACCCCAGTGATGACTGTTTTTTTAATAAGACCACACATTTTCTCCTGTTTCTTCACTAATATGAAACTACGTACAGGACAAGATCCTCTTTTCTTTCTCCTAAATCCATACTGATATGGGTATGATAAATGCTGTGGGGAAAACGCAGTGTGATATGTAAAGCCAAATTTAATTTGGGTAGAAAGCTCTTTGTTCATTTGTTTGCATGCAGCACTTCATCTTTCACAGGGCTTTTTTTTTCTATCCGCCTTTGTAAATTTCTGTCTCTAAAAGATAAAAAAAAATAATTGGCAGACCTACTTACAAGGTGGGTTTGCTAATTTGAATAATAAATAATTTAATAATCAATAATACACCGTAAAAGTAAACTTATAATTGGACGTGTCAGTTTGGTAAACATCAGCCTAATTCTGCCTCATCTTCTGCTTTCTTTCTTCTGCCTTGAGATTTCAATGCCACCCTTGAGCTCCTCCTAGTGTGCATGCTCACTGGTGGCTGTTAGCACCATGCTGAGAGTGTTGGCAGGAGAGCAGAGGCGGCCAGCAGGAGGCGGGCCAAGCTGCTAAAGTGTTTTTCTAACCCACTGCCCCACAGGCAACGGTGTCCCATTGTGGACAGTGTGCACAACGAATGATGAGAAGGGGGATGCACCCACCGTGTTGAGAGGGCCAGCTTCACTTAGTCACAGGGCTGGTTAACCTATGGCCAGCATTGGCATGGCTCCGTTTGCCTTTGTACTTTGTGTATGTGTGTGTGCATGACAATGGCTCCGTTTGCCTTTGTACTTTGTGTGTGTGTGTGCATGACAAACAAAGGTTTTAAACGTTGAGAGAGAAATTCATAGATCAGATAATACCTAAGCCCAGAGACTACCCTGCCCCTGGTACAGACCATGGTCATCTCCCACCTCAACTACTGCAACAGCCTTGTAGAAGGCCTCACAGCCTGTGCTACAAAACCACTGCAGATGCTCCAGAATGTGGCGGCGCTCTGTTCTCTGAGCTACACTGGCTAACCACAGATGCCCACATCAAATTCAAATCACTAATGCTAGGCTACAGAGTACTTAATGAGTCATCCTGCAGTCCCAACACCTCAAACAAGACCATCCAGGTTCTCTTCTCATGGATCGTTCCACACTGGAGGAATGATCTACCAAGCACCACCAGAACAGGAGCGTACCTGACTATCTTCAAAAAGCTCTTGAAGACCCAGCTCTTCAGAGAGAACCTCCTGCCCTAACACTTTCTTGTACTTTCCTGCTCCTTTTGCACTTATCGCTACCCTAGTTAGGAAGGTGCGACTTCCGATCAAGAGTTTCTCTGTGTAGTTTGATCAGTAATCCTCCTCTTCGAAGTCGTTTTGGATAAAAACGTATGCTAAATGCATAAATGTAAATGAGGTGTTAGGATGGTGAAAAGGGGGCGAGCCAACAGATTTGAGGACAATTTCAAACTAACTAGTTGTAATGTCTAGGGTAGTGAGGCAGAACTAAATAAAACTGCAGTTCTTAAGGAGGGTTAGTACTGTATCTATCAAAATTACACTAAGAAACTGAGTAACCCAGTAAGACTGTAATGGGTGGCCAAGGCTAACTGATACAGAAATGAGAGACTGGCTCTTGCAGGTCAATCCAGCAGACAAGCTAAAGTCATGCTAATTTCCAAAGAGGTTCTTGCTGTATTGATATGATAGTATCACAAAGAACATCACTGTTACATTTTGTCAACAAAATAAAAAAATACAATCTTTTAATAACATTTTTAAGAATTTAATATAAAGAAAAACAAAAAGTTACCTTACCTGTGCAGATGAAAAACTTGGACTCTCCAACACTTAGTTCCACTTTGCTAAGAGATATTGACACCTGCAGGGCAGCTGCAAATTAGAATGTGGAAGAAAGAGGGGAGAGGGTGGAGGGGGAGGGAGAGAGGGGGGGAGGAGAGGATTAGTTTAAACAACATGACTGTAACACATTTAAATTAGTCTTGGTCTGTGCGGTGAAAGAACGAGACATGCCACAACTCTCTCCCAGTCTGTGTTACATGGTCGTACACCTCCTCGGCCACGGCCCAGATGTAGGTTTCAGGGACAACATCGGTTCTCATTCACAAATACAAATACTCTGGAATGTCTAGTTATGCTCCCTCCACTCAGGCATTTTTGGGCTGATCGTGAGTTTTCAAACCCCCTACGGAATGACAAATTACATTCCAACAGCACATGCTGCTGAGAGATAAGTCCATTATCATTGGGTATTTATAGAATTCATTCCAACCGACACCAGTGAGTTTAATTGCATTTGTGTTTCCAAGGCACACTAAAAAACAGTTCAGTGACAAGCCTGTCAGTTCTTGTTCAAAGACATATTTAAATACCTGGTCTGTGATCATTTACTTCACCAGAAATCCAGAAATACCACGCAAATGTGAATGCATTCCTAACTGCATTTGGGGAGAATTATTTTATATTAGAGTTATAAAAGTTGGTTTTAAAAAAGTCAGTTCACATTTGTGTAAGTATAAAACAGACAAACAGACACAAAAAAAGAATGCTTGTATCAACTTTCATGAAAGAAAAGTCAAATCTTCAAACTGCCCAATTCCAGCGTCGGCTGTGTGTGTAAATGTCAGCGTGTGTATCCTTTAAACTGCATTTCCACACACCCCTGACTCCATGTTCCAGTTACCTATGTTCTGATTTCATAATTGACTTTAACAGACTCTACAGTTTATGCTCTTTTATAAAAGATATTTTTGATCTTTTATAAACAAAGAATAAAAATAACTGTGGGGGTATTCCTGATTAACTTTCCACTCTTTTCTCATTTTACCAAAAAGTTTCTAATTTAAAAATGTTGGTAAATCACATTTATACAGCGTTTATGCAGAGAATGAGACAAAGGAATTGCAATTATCACTATAACGTCACATGAATCCTTCATCAGGTTTTAGAAAAAGGAAGTCTTCCAAAACATGTTGATATTTTAGCATCTGTGAAGTGAAAATGAAGTGAAGTGATTCAAAGTGTGTTATTCATACCAAGGATTCCACTTCCTACAGCTCAGAACAGCCTCTCTTATGATTTCTCTGGATCAGGACACCTTAACTGAGACTGTAATCAAGGCCAAACCTTGGACATGTACGACTGCTGTCCTCACAGCCCACCAAGGTTGTCCTTCCAGCTTGAGTGGCAGATCGTCACAGATCTGTGCGATCAGATGTGATTTCACACCTGGCAGATCTGTGCGATCAGATGTGATTTCAGACCTGGGTTGTGTTGATTGCAGATTTTTAAACAACGTTAGAAGTTTGAATATTTTTATATGTGTGTACTTGTGTAACCAAGTGAAATGACGTCAGGCTTAAGTAAATATGCAGAGAACTGAAAGAAAGTGTTGTACCTTAAGTGGCACAGCTCTGTGGCAAAACTGGCTGAGGTGCAGTGTGTGGGTGTGAGATCAACACAAACCACAGTGAGGACACCAAGAATAGATATCTTACAGCCACTTTAAATCTCTCCTCATCAACAGAACTGTTTCTGTATTAACCAAAAGGTATTTCAACTGACAACGTCTTCACATTCAGTAAAACTAAGAACAAAATCAAGTGAAAAAAGAATAGACATAGCTGTTACACCCTAACTTTTCACTGTGTGGTCAAATTAGGTGGAGACGTTAGTATATTCAGCACTGTGGAGCCTCTTAAGGTGTTTTGTTAAATTGCTATTAATGTAACCCAACACATTTAACAGAAGGACTTCCTCCAAACCACTCCCAGTGTTAACATTACTTAAACCAACTACCAATGAGGACAAGACATTACATTGGATTATACAAATAAAAAACACTGACTGAGTCAGTTGTAGTGAAAAGCCAATAGGTTCACTGGATCACCACATTTTTGGAGTATTTAAATTAAGTCATGGTCCCAATGGGGCAGTAGTTGCTTGGTAGTTAAGGAAGCGGACTTGGGTCCAGGTTTGAGTCCACCAACTGCCAAGTTACCACTGAGGTGCTCTGATCATGGCACCGTCCCCAAACTCTGCTCCGATCTTAAAGCTGCCCACTGTTCACTTTGGTGATGGGTTAAAAGCAGAGTTCACATTTGGTTGTTTTCAGTGGTGAGCTGTGTCACAATGACAAGGAGTTAGTTAATTAGTAGACTTAAAGAAATACAAAATACAATATCCATTCATCCATCCATCCGCTTATCCGTCACTGGGTCACGGGGGCAGCAGTCGCCACCCAAAACACACTGCACCGTACCAGCCCCTCATGAACCTTCCTGTGGGTGGTACCTTCACTGGAAGGTACCAACCGCCCTAACCTGGATTCGAACCTGCCCAGGAGGCGAACCCTGGGGTTCCACACCAATGACAGAGACACTGGCTCTGGGCCAAAGCCCAGAATAGGTTGGAGTTTGTTGGAGTTCCAAAGCAAAAGCAGTCGATAATTGACTGCACATTGACAATATAGCAATATATACCAAACACAGCGCTACGGCAGAAACACGCAACCACATGTAGAAAATTAATCCAAATAAAAATGCAAACAAAATTACACGTGGAGTTGCCATAAAGTAATTTAGAAAAGCAGCAAGAAAATACCCTCAACGGACATTCTCTCTGCAAATGAAACACTAAATCCTATTAAAGCCAGGCAGAGAATTGAGGCTGTAACAGAGGGCAAATGAGTTGCCAAAAGGGAAGAAGCTGAGGTTCAAATGGCAATGCAATCATCAGCAATGATAGAAAAAAGCCGGGGGTCGATGAGGCCTGCGTTCAATTGAGGCTTTCAATTTGTTCTTGCACTGTGAGGTTGGAAATGTCAAAGGTGCTGGAAGCAAGTCAGAAAATTATTTGTTAGTCCACACAGGTTAGGTTTGACAGGTATACTTGATAATTTACCCCGTGAAGGCAAAACACGAGCAGAGACAAGGATATTGAAGAAAAAAACAAAATAAAAAAGAGAGAAAACAGAGGGCTGTATGCTTTGGTTGTCTAACAAAGATGATTTTAGACATTAGAGGAACGCTATTTACATTCTACAAAAAACCCATGGTCTGACAGTATTTAAGTGACTCATGGGTGTCTTCTCTCTGAATGCCATTCTGATGTCAATCTTGTTTTTGCATTACATTTTTTAATAACTTTCTGTTTATTTGATCTGCCTGCTGCTGCCTCATTAACCCCAGAGTGTTGTTGATTAGTACTGTCACCTCCAGATCAGCCGTTCACGCTTTCTCAATTTATTTTTATGTTCCTGTTTTGTTCTGTTGTGACTAACTGCTCCGCTCCTAATGTGACCCACCTGTGTCTTGTTAACCCCCACTACTGCTTACAGATTTTAAGCATTGTCATAGTTTCCTGTGACAGCAAAGCAAACGCACCTGAATTTGGCTTCTGATCTCCAACTATGTACCCTTCTCTAACACTCTGTATAGTCAGCCTGTGTACCAAAAACACTATTAAAACTAGCTTCACTGACTTACTGAGTCGTGCATTTGAGTTGTTTTTTTTTAATTTGTAGCAATAAATGTGTCTTATGGTGAGGTGTGTTTAAATGTTGGAGCGACCCAAGGCATTTATTAAAACACCTACAGATGATTCAGGTTGTGATCCAAATATATAGTTTCAGTTAAATTACAAAATGAGATTATTCGCACAGTAACTGTTTTAGAAAAATGATAGCATGAAACCAAGCCCTGCTGTTCTGCTGACGGTACTGTATGCAACTTCACTTATCTTTGCCTCCAGATAAGACAAAACTGCTATTTCAAATTTAAGAATTTATTCAAGACCCAAAGCTGAGAACCTGTAACTTCCTATGTTAAAACACATTTTTACCCAAAGTGATTATACTCAGCCCCAAACATCAAGGCTTTACCATCTATGAAAACATGAAATATATGACAAGTATTATTCCTACATTAGAAATTCTGAAGAGTTAGTGCATACATGGATTGATTAGACTCTCTGTGCCTGTAGAAGTCTGTGAAAGGCCTTCAAGGTTCTGCCTTAATGAGCTAATCGCTGCACCAAACATACTGACAGTTCTAGCTTCTTACTAGCGATTAGGACAATCTAATATATACTATAAAATCCTCATTTTCACATATGAAGTTTGACCTTTAGTAATTAACAAATGACAAGTCCTTGTTAATTACTAAAGGTCTAGGACTGTACCATTTTAACCTAAGTTATCCCTTAGCTATGCTGCTGTAGGCCTAGACCACTCGGGGAACTTCCTTGATGCACTTAGCACTCTCTCTCTCTCTCTCTCCCAAACTCTATAGATAAATACACACATTAATTTCATTATGATAACCTTGTTTTAACTTTCCCACCAACTGTCTTCAGTTCACAGCTTCCTTTCATCTCAATAATCTTAGTATCTATTATTGATCTCTATCCTAGCTACTTTTACATTTTAGGCTACTGATGTGCATTTCAGCTTGTCTGACAGTAACTAAACTGTAGTGTTGCCATCTGCCTCTGGTCTCTCCTCCCCTCATACCTCTCTTTAGCCCTCTCCTCTGTCTCCCCCATTTTCCCCTTCTCTCTGGAATTTTCCAAAGTGTCTTAATTTGGTTATAATTGTATAATTAATATAATATACTATATTCCTACATTTTATTTTTCTTTCTTACAGTTTGATTAGTTTTGGGGATTCCTGTTCATGTATAGTCATTGGAGTCAGAATGCGTTTTGAGAATTTGGCCTATTTCAAATAAAGAATACTGCACAAGTGATGCTATTTTTACAACGCTGCCCACTAGGGCTTAAATTGTTGGAATATTCCCCGATAAGTAAAACGAACATCTCCATTATCATTTCACAAAATGACAAAGGTGTATTGATTTAAAATGAAGAACTAC